TAATACATAATCCTTGCCTTGAAAACTGTTCCATTTTGATCAACCCCACTGTACATTAGACGACAGCAAATCCAGAATGTCTGCACAGAAATGAAAATCATTATAAGTATAAAGAGAAAAGCTAGAGAAGACTGATACTGTTTACAAGCAGATGTTAAAATATAGTGAAAAGACATAAACCACTTCAATGTGTTTGGGACCAGGTAGGCTCTCTGTAAGAGTCAGAAGAAATTGAAAAGATTAGGAGTTTATAAATGACAATAAAATCTTCTTGTAAGCATTAAAATAAAAGTAAATAAAAATTATGAGGACTAAAGCAATTAAAAGAAAATATACATAATTTTATTGTGCTAATTACAATGGTAGTCAAAAACTAAGAGTTGACTGTGATTAAACTAATTTAGCAATATATATAAAAAGTATGATATCAGATAATTTTGAAAGAACTAGGTAATCATATAAAATTATAGGGAAATTTTATACTCTAATACACTAAACATTGAATTATTATTTAGGTATTTTTAGGATTTCAAAATGTTTTATTCCTTAATTGTTCAGTTCTTAGCATCTTGTGTGTTACGCATTTGCTACTTCTTTTGATGTATTAAATTAGGTGGAATGTTATTTGTTTTCAAATGGCAGATCTTCTCTGCTCTTAGTCAACTTTGAAATTATTAAAATTTAATTTCCCATATCTAAGCTTTATATTTCTGAGTATTTTTTTCTTCTTTCAAGAAGTAAGGGAAAATTGGTGGTATTCTACAAGCATTCAGCAATCAGTTCCAATATTTACATAGTACCTAATACACTGTCATATTTAAGGTGTCTTTTTTATATTATTTGCATTCCACACATAAATTATTCTATTTACAATGCTTAGGGCAACCAGTAATTGCTTGGGATTGTTTATGGAAGAATGTTAGGGCTCCAGAATGGGATTCTTCTTCTAATTTAGGCATATCTACTTTATCTGGTTCAGAACTGACTTAGCATCTGTGCTTCCAGGGAAGATATATGTCCTACAGCACTTCAGCAGAGGTTCCTCTTGTCTATTTACTTTGGAGAGAAAACCTTGTACTTGTTTTTATATAGAAATCCTGGGTTCCAGCCAAAGCTCTCTGCACAACCAGACCGATGTTCTTCTGCACCGGCTCATCTTTTGGCACATGGGGAACAGCCTGCTCCTGTAAGACTGCCTCCTTAGAGCACACTCAGCTTTCCTGGACTCTTTTGCTCTTCAGGACTGCCTCCCAAGGGTCTCTCTCAACCAGTCCCCTAAACAAGCCAGTGTCTGCCCTCCAGAAGTCCAAGCTAGCCATTCTGCTGACCCCCTCCTAAATTCTCTGAGAACTGAAAACTCCCATTTTGTGATGGCTGTGCCCAAGACGGCATCCAAGCACCATATTACCCACCAGTTCACACACAACAGGTCCGGTGAGACATATCCCCTCATTGACTCCCTCACCAGCTATGTCAGGAAACTGTCTTCCACACACTAGAAACCTACCAGACTGTCTACTCTGTGCTGTGTTGTATTTCCAGAAGACATTTGGTAAATTAAAGTCCCCCATTAGAACAAGGACTAGTAATCATGAGACTTCTCTCAGCTGTCTATAGGATATTTTGTCTGCTTCTTCATCCTAGTCATATGGTTTATAACAGATTCCCTTCTCAGCCTTCTCCCTGATTCTTACCCATAGACACTCAACCCTATTGTCACCGTCATTAAGCTCTAAACAATCTAACATACAGGGCTACCCTGCTGGCTCTCCTTTCTTGTCTGCTTCAGATCTTTGTGGAGAGGAATTCAAGGCCAGTGGAATTTTATGTTTAGATAGGAAAGCTTCCTAGCACTTTCCAGTACTTCTTTTTTCCCCCATCCAACCTACTGAAGAATCACAAGGAAGTTTGTGCCAACTTAAATATATTACTCAATCACCACCAGAATGCATTGCAAAGTCAAAAATGAAATCTGGAATTAGGGAGCAATGCTTGGATATTACAAGCTGTCACCCCCTGGTTTCAGTGTTTTATGTAAAAGACAGTTTTTCCTTTTCTATCCTTTTGATGAAAAATTCCTTTTCTTTTGTAGAATCATAGAATTGACCATGTTGGAAAAGACCTTTGAAATCATCAAGTCCAATCCTTGATCCAACACCGCCATGGTTACTAGACCATGGCACTAAGTGCCACATCCAGTCTCATCTTAAAAACCTCCAGGGACAGTGAATCCACCACCTCTCTGGGCAGCCCATTCCAATGCCTGATTACTCTCTCTGTAAAAATTTTTTTCCTGATATTCAAGCTAAACCTGCCCTGACACAGCTTAAGACTGTGCCCTCTTGTCCTTTGAACAGCTTTTAAAATTTGTGTCAATAGGGGCACACCACATGGGTGTATCAGATGAGTATTTATTTTTAAATAATTGAACAAAATATGAAGTGTGAGAGAGAAATTACAACTTCCTATTAATTTAAGAAGGGATCAGAACACAAAGAGGTGCCCTATATGTAACAGAATTTTGTTGTCTCCTTGTTCGAGATTGATTTAATTTTCAAATGTTTTGAGGGGTAGAATTTTTTTAATTGAACCACTTCCAGAAGAACTCACCTCTAGAGGTAGCATTGTTTTATTCTGTTGCATGGTGTATTGCAGGAAAGATTTCACATATAATTTCTTTTTCCTTTCCACTTTCTTATCCTTACTGCTTTAATTTCTAGAGCTAAGGCTTGGAGATTGACAAAGTATGGTTCCCCTAACTTGGAGAACTATCATGAGAAACAATAGGAAAAGTCTACTTCTTTTTTAAGGTGGTAATCTTTGAAGTCAGTAATGTTACATTAATTGAAATGGATGCTATTTTTTAACTAAAAAATTCTTCCATAACTCATTGTGGTGTCCAGGTACACTTGGCCCTTAAAACTCATCAAGTTCATAATCTCTGTCTCTTTTATTTTTTTTAAGAGATCCAGGTCTTCTTGTGTGAAAGCAGAAAACAAAACCCTGACTGTGGCTGGGACCACTTCTTGCTGAGTGGCTTTCTGTGACTGGGTTGGCACATTCAGAGGTGGAGTAGAAGGGCCTCTGCTCCAAAAGTAGGCAACTCAAAAATGCAAGGTAGCCTGAATGTGCTGCATTAAGGGAAAATGTAGACTGATAGATTTCTCCATTTTAATAGTTTCCCTGATACCATTTTTTAACAATAAGTAGGGCCTCTTTCATCTTTATAGCATGATTTTTTGTGTTATATTAGGATTATTGTTTCTGTAATGCCTGTAAAACAGTATGGGTCAAAGGTCCCATCCTGGGATCATGTTAAGCCTGGAAGTATTGTAAACTTCCATCATTTGATAAAAAGAACACAAAGTTGAGAAAAAATAAAAAGTGAATTGGAATAAACTCAAGGAAAAAAAATAGAAGTCAGACATGAGAGTGAGTTAAGATGAACATGTAAGAGCCTTAAAAGGAGAATGGAACGGCTAGAAACTGTAAAGAGGAAATGAAAAGTTACTTTTAAAATGAATAGAACTTAACAGGAAAATTTATTGGATAGTTAATGTAGAATATGTGGCGAAGGTAATGACATATTTGGAAAGTGCAAATTTGGGATAGTGTATTTGGTGTGATTTTTTACTGTGCTTTCCTCTTGAACATTGTTTTAGCTTTACAGATTAATAGGAAATGAACTGACATTCGGATTGAGAGTGTAAGTAAATAATACAAAACTCATGACGTTCTAGTACTAAATACCCAGAAGAGTAAAATCAAAGAATGTTCTTTCTTATATATTGGCCAGATATAACCTAAAATAACTGAAATACACATGTGATTTTTTGAATGAATAAAAATATGGAGATTCTGTATTCCTGCCTGTATGGAAAAATCTGTGGGTCTAGTTATTTACTGTAATTCAGTGCAGACAGCCTTCAAAGAAAAACAAAAGAAGCTTATAGTAAATTGTAGATTACATTTTTCTTTCTCTACCTGGTAGGCCATAAATAATAGATTGTCAGTGTTACAATTTGGTTTATGATAATTTGAAATTCTAATGACTTTCTGAACAAAATTAAAAGTATCTGAGCTTCTCAACAGTTAGTAAATTTTTTTTTTTCTAATGCAAGGGATTTAGCAACCTGAGTGGTTGATACCAGACATCATTTATGAGATTCTTTTTAGAGTTATAACATATGTCTTTAGAAATAAGGGTGCCTAAAATTACTTTCTTTCTGAGACTTCCCTTCACTTTATTCTATTGCCTTGTGTACCAAGTGGACAGGTTTTATTAGGATTTATTTAAATTATTAGAATCGTAAACAAGAACAAGCATAAATATTCTTCAAAGCCTATTCTTCACACTGGGTATCACCTTGGTAATCACATTAATAAACACAGGACAATTAGTTTTATACAGACTGTCCAATAAATCAACTGGGATTCTTTTTCCCCTGATGCATAGCCTGGGCAAGATCTTCTCAGGAGCTGTGCAAAATGCCTAATACCCATTCATGTGTATCAGAGTTTGGGGTTCAGCACTTCTAAGTTCACATCCTGAGGCACAAAAGCACTCCTTTGTTTCTCAATCAATAAAGAATACATTCTTCCTGGTTACGGATCAGGGGTTTGAGCAGTGCATGTCTCCCTGACAGCACTATATTTTGCTAGCTGGAGGCACTGATGATGCTGATGTGTATTTCTTTAATTTCTATTCTCACTTTCAGTGAGAATAGAATCTAATTAAATTCTGGTGATGCTTAAGAAGAGGAAGGGACAGTGTTTCTCTGAACATTATTCTATCTAACACAGAGAGTAGTAGTTTTCTGATATGCAGCATTTAGCACACGTGAAAACAGATGTGTGTCTTTAGCAAGCTGTCATTTCTCAAACTTAACAAAAACTGTGCCAAGAGAAGCTGGGGAGAATCGCAAAGCCTGGGTCTGGAAGCAGTGGAGTGCAGTGCTGATAGCACTGTGCTCCCTAGTGCAAGTTTCCAGAGCGCGTTTCTTCTTGGCACTGACACAGCCAAGTCTCCTGCTCCGACACAGATGTTCCTCCAGCAGCTCTAAGTAACGCTGCTTGACGGATACAATGTCATACCCAGGGGTTCGTGGTCCACCTCAGCTTTCTAAGAGGACTCGCTACTGATGAAATCAAAAGCTTAGAGAAGCATGAGATGCAGGGCTTTATCTAATATTTTGTCTCAGCTACAGTGGCTGGTGAATCGCCACAGCTCAGTATAGTGCTGCTTTACACCCCTGCAACTTTCTTCAAAGCAAACTCTTGGTAAAATCTTCCAATTTCCCTCTGATTGCAAACCGGTGTGAGGACTGGAATGATTTGCCTGTTGGAAGAATGTTGACTCTCGAGTGGGAGTCGGAGGGACTGCAAACAGTGGGTATTGTTGTGATTATATTTGCATCTCTGAAGCTGCTTCATTTGCTGGGACTGATTGATTTTTCAGAAGGTAAAGTGGTCACTCACAGTTTGTGCTGTTTGTAGGTGTGGTGTCTGATATGCTAAAATAGACTTAGAGCATCAGCTATAAAAGAAAGCTGTGAAATGAAAAAAGTGAAAATAACAGACTAAAAATCCTAGTTTGTTTCTGCTGGTTTTATTTTGTTATTGAAAACAGAAGTAGATGCTCGCATAAGATTTATATTTTACAATGAATTTACAATTGTCTGTGAGTGGATGTTTATTAGAAAAATTGAAAATAGTGAACATAACACCTGTCAGTTGCCTTTGAAAGCTGCTCTCTGATACTGAACTTGGTAGTTCAGTTCATATTTACAGAACGCTTTGCTCTTCTGATTTATGATGCAATTAGAGTTTTGTTCTCAATCAGTATCTGTGTTTTAAAAATCTGTTTCATGCAATACGCTATTCCTACAGAATGAGCTTTAGGATCAAGCCTGCTCTAAACCTTTCAAAAAAAGGCATATATGCCAACACCAAATGTGGGTATTTAAAATATATATAATGCATATATGTTTTAAAAATTCTCATTTGTTTGCTCAGAATTTTCTGTTCTCTACCATATGGGTCATATCATTTCATCTACTTGCAAAGAGAGCTTCACATTAATTTATTAGGATTTTTTGTCTATACAAAGTGAGGGGGTTTTCACATTTTGTAGAAATAAGCCCTTTCAATTAATCGTTGCTGAGATGTTTTGTTGTCGACTTTTCAACTTTTTCACAAAATGCCTAGTGTGGACTGCTAAAGTAAACAAAAACTATTCACTCACTGAAGCCCTTTCTCAAAAAATACTTGCTTTTGTCAGTATGTTTGCTCATGTGAGTCCAAACTAATCCTTTTTGCTGTGTAACTGCTTTCAGTCATAATCACACAGCCAAGGAGACCACTCCAGTTTTCTGAAACATTAACTTTTCATCATGCAATAGGATCTTTGATGGATGTAGATTCACATTATCTCCTCATAAAATTGTTCAGAGAGCTGAAAGAATTTGAAATCTTTAAGACAGCACTTATATAGTTACTGAACTATTGAAATATGTCATCCTTCAAAGTGTATGTGGTAAGAATCTATAATATTTGCTTTGTTACTATATAATGCATTGGTTATGGAATTACTTTTTCAGTTCTAAACAAGGGTTAATTTACCCCTCAGTATTGCTCACCTTTGGGTTTTTTAATGCTCTGAATGTATAGCATTTGTGACATCTAAAAAAATTGTCACAGTTATGGGTTTGCTTCAAATTTATTACATATAATAACAGATAGAAAAAATATTAAATGCAATTTTTTTTTAGCATATGTAGAGTTAGATCCCTTTCTTGATTTCTCATAGAATGGTATTGTCATTAAGTTTGTGGGAAATGGTTTCATGTGATGTCAACTATATTAAATTGCCCTTTTACAAAAAAATCCCCCTGGTACAAATTAATCTGATTTTAATATGAATAGTATGTTCAAGATGATATATCAATTGAAGTATAACACCCAACAGTGTCATGGCAGGTCCTCACATGATAATATAATAATTTCACTCAATAGTACCTAGATGTAAAAAGATTAAACATTATCAGGTACAGTTGATATATTTGTAACTGCAGTGTGAATAACTCCAGTGACTCAGGGGATTTCCAGTTTCCCTGAAGCTGATCTGTGCTATTCAACTCTTCTGTGTTGGGGTACTGCCATTACCATTAAACAAGAATTCTGCCCAAATGATTAAGGAATATTTTACAGGGTGTTCTAAGTCAACAATTTAATAGTTTGTTGTTCACCTACTGAATGCAAGAAAAGCTCTTCTGTTTGTATCCAAGGAGGACCACATTTGAACTGTCAGTGTTGATCCAGAAACCAAAATGAGTAATGAGTCTTCCCTGTCTACCGCATGGAGGCACATCATGGGCCATATGCTGAAACAAGTATATTCCCATAGTCAGGGACTTATATTGTGAATATCACTGAAAGAAAGGGCAGCATGCCTGATGTTTGCCAATGAAGCACAGGGAAAACAGCTAAAGGAAAAATCCTTAATTGCTAACTTGTTATAACTCCACTGATTTTAGTGAGGTCGTAATGATGCATTACTGTGGTATGATGGACAACCACCTGCCTTTACATTACATAGCAAGGAAGTTATGATGAAGAAGAGCTTGACTTGCCCCCATGATTCCATGAGAAAACAGGAGAATCCAGTCAATCTGCTTAGTTTTATTACAGTGTTCAGCAATTGCCAGGACAGAGAGGAACCTGATCTTATCCTGTGTCCCTGACTAGGGACTGTGTTATTCTGCTTCATCCATTCTCCACTTTCCAATAAGCAGGACAAGAGACCAGAATGAAAAGAAAGCTGGCTTCACGGGAGCCAGCAAGCTGTTTCAGTTATAAGGACAGAATTGAATCAATACAACTTTTACTAGAAGAGAATGAAACTCTCCTTTGCCTCTCCTTCCATTACTTTGAAAGTGGTTTGATACTAATCGATATCTTCCCTCCAGCTTCCTTGCCTGAAACTTTTGCCACTGGGCAGCTTTGCTCCAAAGCTTTTGTTTTATTCCTCAGGTGGAAGGGGAGGAGAGGAAGGAGATCAAACTGAAGCAATGGATCAGAGCAGTAAAGCAACAGCACCAGGCCTAGAGGAAATTCATTCACCAGAATCTTGGAGGGGAGAGATAGCAAAATGAAGGATTTACTTTGCATTTGTGTGTCCAGAATAGCTGCCAAGTGGTAACTGTGCAGAGAGATTATATAAACATGTGTGTGCAACTGTGTAAACATTAGGGGACTGCATAAATCGGAGTCTTTGAAAGGACAAACTTTATGTCTCTTCCTACATCATGCATTGATTATATTTTGAAGTGTAACACCTCATGCAGAAATGTTTTTCTTTTGCTTGTGAATAGAATGCATCCAATGTTGCAATCTATTTGAGACCCTCTTATTCCTCCCCTTTTCCTCAAACTAATCTCTAACAGTTTTCCAGAGCTATCTAACTTTCCAGAGTTATCTTCCAAATATTATCTTTTTATCTTATTCAGATAAAAACATCATTTCTGGCATATGAATGTCCCATGAACTCCATATCTTTTGGCTAGTAGGACACACTGGTCTCTATATGTCTTTCAGCTCAATAGCCTATCAAGGCTAGGTAGGAATATTTGATCCTTAGTTTCTTTTACTATGATGGAAAGAAAAGACTAGTTAACTTGCAGTTATCAATAAACATATTTGGTTGCAAAGTCATTTTTTTGTGAGTAAATAGAGCATTTTTTTGCTTCAGTTAGAATTTGGAAATTGGAAAAGGGCTAAATAAAGATAGTTTTAAATAGAGGTATTTTTCTGTCTTGGCATATATCTTCTCTGTACAAGCACAGAAAGATCCTTTTTTTTAATTTTTTATTTCTGATCTAATCTGGATGGACAGGAGTCACCTCCAGTCTAGAAGTTCTGTTAGTGCACTTATCTATTCTGTCACACTAACTGCTAAAATGTGGCCTCTTTCGTAGTTCTGATACTTAAAAGCACAGAGCAGATGTTAGGTCTGTCTGCAACCATCTGTGTTAACATGCTCTTAGTTACCCTTATGGCTTTAGCAAAACCAGTAAGGTTTAAAATATTGTCTTGAGTGCAGTATGACTGTCACCCTTAGAAAATCAATGATATGGGCAAAGTAACGCTGAGAAATTCTCAATTGCATCATATATTCTAAGAAAAAAAACACCAAGAGGCATGGGAATTTTCTTCTTGTCTACATGTGGCTGATGAGAATAATCTTAATTTGAATGTCCTTCCCTGTCTACTGGAAGCTGTGCTACAAGTCCAACAGACTCACCTATGCTGCTCCCTCTCCTGTATGACTTCTCTCAGCCAAACGGGATGCAATGTAGCATAATTCCACAACAAAGAGAAAGATGAAGAATGCACCACACAGAAATACTGGTCCCCTTGCCTTTTCTCAGCAGCTGCTTGTCCAGCTTACTGATCTCAGTAAGCTATTCAGTTTTCACGTGGTGAAATGTCCATTTCCTGCCTGTCCTTTTTTTTTTTCCTCCAGACACTTGTAGAATCAAGGGAACTACTTTATTCCTCAAAAGATTCTGTTTGTGGATGCTGATATCCCAGTGCCAATTCATGGCATCAAGGTATATAGTATTATTAGTTTTCCTGTGATCATCAGTGAACCTTTCACACCAGAAATGATAACATATAGCTCCTTTGGCATCTAATATATTAGCACCTGTGCACTTAGACTGTTTGTTTGCTGCATATGACTAGATAAAAGGTGTTAAGGTTCTTTCCAGAAGCATAATTCTTCCCCTCAGAGATGAACAAACTGGATTACCATTTTTCTTTTGGTTTGTTTTGTCAACCCTCTTTGTAAATCTTGACAGAGATTCTGAATTCAGGGTCTCTAAAGGAAAGTCAGTCTATAGAGGTGTCTATATATTGCACAGCAGAGAATAGTTACTTCAGGCCAAATGCAAAACTACATTAAGTTGCTGCTTTAAATTCAACCTTGATCCAAACTGATGTAAAAGTTGAGGTGTGAATTTCAGTATGCTCATTTATAAGGTCATGTGTTCTTGGACATATATATATATTTTTGTATGCTTCTGTTAGATGCAAGACAGGCCGAAACTTACTGAAACTTCTAACCATCTCTTTATTCTCCACCTACCCTCAAAAAGTAGAGTCTTCCAGGCTTGGGAGCATGATTATGTTTGGGAAACACTGTCTTGACTAACCTTAAGATAACTAAATTGAAACTGAAAATTTTATTTTGTTTTGCTTTCCTTTTAATTTAGTGGTTTTTCTGCCTAATGATACAGTCTAATGACACAATGCACAAATGGCAAACAAGTGTAAAGTAATGTGCTTGGTAAAGAAGAGCAAATGTCATTCTTTCATGTCAAAATCAGGTAAATCGTGGTTTTACCCTAATAGGAATAAAATGGGACAATTTAATTAAGAGTTTTGAGGAAGGGCTTAATG